GAGAAATGCGCAGCACTTTTGGGTCGCATGTTGTAGATGGTGAGCGTTCTGGAAGGATGTTAAAATGATGCCCGGCACCGGTGTCAGAGCAGGTTCCGTGAAGCTTTATTCACAGAACTGCCGAGATTTACGCAACACGTTAGCCTAAACTATGCCGAGCCGCAGCAAGGAAGTATGAAGCCGTTCACCCGACCGCCTAACCTTGAATGACCTAACTACTGCACTACAGGACTGGGTTTCTAGCAGCCGTGGGCAGCCTTAAACAAATTCGCTGTGTATTCGCTATGTATACCTAGACCCCCAGACGTTTGTCAAATAATGGCCCAACCCCTATAAAAGGCCATTATTTTACAAACCTTTGGGGGGGTGCAGGTACTCCCGAGCCCATGCAAATGCTCACAAGCCGTGGCCGGCGAGCCGAAACAGAATCCCAGAAGAGTTTTGGTTTGCCAGCCTTGACAGGTTGGAGTTGCTTCTCAGCGCTGCAGCAGTGGGGTGCTGAGGTATTCAGAAGGTGGGTTACTATAGGGGCCTAAATAATTACCAATACTATTTGCGGGGCTCCTTACCATAGTTATAGTCCAAAGCTCCCCAAAACCCTATTCTAATCTTTAAGCCCCCTATATTAAAGCCTCTGCAAGCCAGGCGAGACTAATTGATTTTGCCTTAAACTCGAGCCCAGCAAAGAATGCTAAGCATGGCTGGCATATATTGGCATGTTTTTAATTGTTCGAGCTCTGCCTCGTGGCAATGTGGACATAGCGGGGTGCCAGAAACAGTAGCAGATCCAGCTACTTTGCTTAAAGTGTTCGGGGCTTTTGCTTATTTGCCTCGGTTTCACAGGTCATCGAAAGTGTCAAGTTGCACCAGGAACTGCACACCGGGCTGTGAAGGCTAGAGCTCTCGAGCATGGACATTCAGAATCAGACTGCCTTCTTCTGCGGATTTTCGAATTCGTCCGGAGAGATGATGCAACAATATCATAGCTGGACATAGGGAGCACAGAAAGACCCTTCGGCTGAGGATGTCAACGCAGCCGATTCTGCAGGCCTTTGGCTGTAGTTAAGACATGTTAGAAGAGTCGCAAGCACAACATCAGGGGTTCAGGGGTTGCAGGGTCGAGGGTTGGCTTGCGCTCAAAGTCCAAAGGCTTTCAGTTTTCACGGTTCACCGTCAGTCGAGTGTCGTATTGGATCTAGGCTGCCACTCTGCATCGATGCACTTGGACGAATTCATTTGGAATGTCAGGCAGCACCACCCTCCATCGTGCAGCAGCTGCTGCGTCGCCGGGTGCAGCCGGGACCTCAAGTCAGACATGTCGGAGCCATCCGGACAGAGCAAGGGGCAAGAGGAGTAGAGCTCGACCTAATCCCCTGCTTTCCGAAGATCCCTAAACTCGAAGATCCGGAGGATCCTCCCTTTGTCAAGGGTCCCGAAGCTCGATCCTGAAATCCTGAAGCCTCGAACTTCTGCGAGGTCGAGGTCCTGCTCGCCGCCCGGGCGAACCCCAGGCCTGACATGCTGGGGATCAGTCGGGGCTTCAGTCGGGATTTGAGGGTTTCAGGGACCCGTATGGTTGTTTCGGATGTAGGATTAGACGAGGGTATGGTTACTGTAGGTTAACCCGTTTAACCGTTTTAAGGGCTCAGGGTGTGGACTTCAAGAGTTCAGTGCTTCGGAGCTGTCTTTAGATGCATGTCAATGTTTGGAGCTCATGACGATGGGATGGGCTTAGTAGCCTGTCTGGCGTGAGGAGGCTTATCATGCGTTCAACGCTCGTACCAGGACTTGAGGGGTTGTTTTCTCCAGAGGATGAATGAGAACTGTTGTGTTTGATGTTGCAAGACATGCCCTGAGGCTCATTCGCAGAGTTTTCGTACACCGAAGCCTGAGCTTGAACCAGGTTTCCTGAAATCGCATTATACTTGGGAGGGCGTTCGATTTCTTGTTCATATCTGCGGTACTCAGCCCGTTGCATATCCCGGCAGTATGACCTGGATGACTGCACATAGGTCCTCCAAAATCAACACCATGCCAGCCCTCCAAAACCTAAAGCCCCACCCGTCGACCAGGTCGTGTGATGCAGAGGGCCAGGGCTCCAGCTTGCTCTTCGGTTGAGGGCTTCAGGGCGGAGGAGTTTAGGGTTTGCGGCTTTGCCTGCATACTTATTAGACTGGTGTGCAATGTCAGCAGAGAGGTGCTAAGCATGGTGGATGAGCTCATGCTCTCGCTCATCCTAGGGTCAGAGGTCGAAACGATCATCAGTTTTATTTTTTGGATGTATGCATTTAGCTTTGGAGGCTGCTCCTTTCATCGTTTTGATGCTCCTAGCGCATTTAGCAGTTTGCTCCAGCTTAGGCATCGGACACTGATCGATATATTGTTTAAGTTTTTTCTCTATGTAGTTACACATGCCGGCTCTTAGCTTTGACAGCTCTGAGGGCACACCCCGCTTGACGTCGCTGTCGGGCGTGGTTGTGGAGCTGTGGCTGTCACCTCAGATGAGTTACAGGCTAGTCTTGCGATGTGGATTTCCAGGGACACAAAACTGGGAGGGAGCGCACACCAGTCGTGCATACAGTTCCTTCTCGTGGGTAAGCGAGTATAAGGAACAGTTGCAAGAAGTTGCCTCAGCCCGGGGAAACACGACATGAGAAACACAGCAGACTTTCGGGCTGCTTTCGCAACGGCCTCCCAGAAGTCTGCGACGAGTCGGACCTGTAAACCTTCAAGCGCATATTGATTTTGCTTTAATTAAGACAAACATTCACCAGCGCCTACAAGCGGAGTGAGTTTGGAGACTGCGCCGAGGTGGAGCTGATCTCGCACGCAGGTCGGGCCTCTAAGAAAGACCCTTACCCCCAAAGCTCCAAGCGCAAAAGAGTGCTCAGGTCGGGTCAATTTGATAAGCGGTTGAAGTTCCCAGAGAGCCCAATACCCCCTAATTAAGGAATATGGCTTAAATTTTGTCGGGCTTCATATTACGATTTAAGCTATATTCCTTAATTAAGTGGTATTGGGCTCTCTGGGTTGAAGGCTTTTCGGTACCTGGGTCCTCGGAGTCTAGAGGCCGGAAACTGAGGTGACAATTCCTGTAAGGGTGCTCCTCAGCACCCCAGCACAGGACATGTTTTGTTTGGTGATATGTCTCTCAGTTTTCAGTCTTGTCTTGTACCGGTGGTTCTAACAGGTATGTTTCGACTGCGACTGTCGATAGGTCTCGGATTGCAGCCCTTGCTGAGATGCGCTGCAGAGCTCTGACGTACAATGGTTCGAGACTGTTTCTTTCGCAGGATGCATCCTTTGAAGCTGATAGAGATGCCAGCTCTTCGGTTTGGAAGGAAGATAGGCGGCAGGCCTTTGAGACGGGTACAGGCTCTGTAGTGCCTCGAACGCGCTCCTCTACTGAGAAATTCCGATTACTGTACTACCAGCAGTCGTCTAGTCATGTATAACTAGTCATGCCTGAGGTGTGGGCCTAAGTAGGCATTCGAGGCTTTGAGAAGACGCTTGTGAGCATTGCAGTACAGCTCTGAAGCCGAGTATGAGAAACCCATGTTGCCCATGCTCCCAGCTCCAGCAGCAGAACTTGCACGTGCTGCAGTAGGCTTCCCCTTTGTGTTGTTTCCATATAACCTTACGGGTAGCACAACAAGCAGTGCAAGGGGCATCGAGCCGGGGCTAACGACCTGCATTGCTGGCAATTGTTACAGGCAAGAAGCGGCCGCACGATGCCAACAGCTACGAGCCAGGCAGGCAAACCTGGATGCGTTACATTGAATGTACTTGAGTCAACTGAATGGCTTCGGTCTTAGTCGTGGCTGTCACCTTGAGATTCCTCACACATCGGTACGTCTTTCCGGGTCACACACAGCCCAATTGGTATCCACCGTCCCTAACACTCAGCACGCTGAGGACATCATCGCACAACGTGCAAAAAATTATAAGTCCGAGCCGTGCACCGAAAATCTTTGGCACGTGGGACTTCGATGGTTTTGCCTCGAAGCGAGCAGGGGTGGGCACAGCCCGCGTAGTTTTCAAGCCTGAGCGGAGGGAAGCCCGAAGGCACGGGTCCCCGCTTCCATGACAGCATCCGCCAGCAACATCTCCGAGTCAAGCAGTCAGTCAAATAAGCAAAAAATCAAACGCTGCGAAGCTTGTGTCTTCATGGGTAGCTACTTGGCCGTGCAAGCCAAAGTTTCCTACGTGCAGGTTGACGATGGCGGGCAGAAGACATTGACACGCTCCGCAATGTGGTCGCCGAATCCTCGCTGCTGGGTGTGCATCATTCTGATGTTCTGCACCCTCCTATCAATTGCAGCACGGCACACTTCACAACATCAACTCTGTCTGTCGAGGTGACGACAGCATTTCGTATGTCCTGCTCGAAGGCTTGTTTTTTCGACTGGCATATGTCGCCACATGCATGCGCTGAATAGACCTAGCTTCGCAGAATGTTTCGCGATATCTAACCCGAAGGGTCCAAGTACCTAATAATCATATACTCTCCAAACTCGTAACCTACATAGCTACTATCCTAAACCCGAGTACCTAATTATTGGGTCCTTTGGACCCTTGGGGTAAGGTTCTCCCAGGTTCCCGTCACGGCGGAGCTGCCAAGGATGGAGGAGCCTAGGCCTCGGCCCCGGAGTTGTTCCATTGTGGGAGTTTCCGAAAATAGCGGGACCCTGGTACCCTAAATAGTAGGGCCCTTATTATAAGGACCCCAAAACAAGGTACCCCTAATTTTCGGAAACCCCCATGTGAATATACTTCAATTTCTAGATGTCTACATGTGCATACGGTTGGCTGTGTCTGTCTATGCGCGGAGTGTACAAATAAGCATCTTTAACCACATGTGCACACATGCACGTGTACACACACATGTGTGTTTATCGCACGAACGAGATTGCTAGAAATGCGATGCTATTCGGTTCAAGTGGCTAACGCAGCCAGCCTCCTGCTGCGTCTTCCATCGAGCCAGTTGAGTTCGCCCCAACATGAGGCAGGGGGATGTTATGTTCACATATCTTGCAAGACATCCCGCGATAACTTGAAGCCGCCGACATTGTGCAAGCACGCTGTCTCCTATTCAGATAACTTTCATGGCATGAGCCTGGCAAGTTGTCATCTCTCGAAGCCACAAGTACTGCAGCCCTAACCGGTGCTGTAGCTTGATCAGGACATCCATGCTTGGCCGAAAACTGCATTGGCAACTTTGCTTGAACCAGTTTTGAGAACTGCCTGGCCGAACCGCACTGCAATGGCCGTGATCCGTGTGATGTAACATTGCAGCACCCAACTTTGCATCACACTGGTGACGTCGAGTCTCTTTCATGCCGGAAGTGTCTAACTTACAGAGGTATGACTTAGAAGCTGCAGCCACCCTGTAATAGTGGTATACTAGGAATATAATAGGGCCCTAATATAATCCTATATCATCCTTATAGTCACTATTACAGGGTGGGGGCCGATATGACCAGCTTGTGGCCGAGGATCCTCAGATGCACTGCGGCATCGATGCAAACATCGCGTTCGCAAGTGTCTTCCGCGGCAGCGCCCACTGGGGCCGGTGCGGAATGCTGGTTTGGTGGCTTGGCCTGATTCCTGCTTCAGGAAATGTGGATGATGCCTGCTGGTTGCGGACTTTCTGGAGTGAAACACCGCCATCATGGCTGCAAACCCTAAACCCTCAACCTTATGGCCAGGAAGGAAGCACTTCGGACGACCTTTGTCGCAAGTGGCTGAAGAGGATCCAAGTTACTGCCGATGGCTGCTCCGCAAGGCCAAGGCCGGAGATACTGTACAAGCCTGAATCTTCCAGTTGCCATCTGCGCATGTTTCTTGTTACGTACCTTGTACTATAACTCCAATACTTTAAAACCTCGTTTCAATTATAGTACAGAAGCCTGGGTAGTTTTAGACACTATTCCTCAGGGTTCCGTATTTTATGCTAGCCAGAAAGCCCTAGCTATTGAAATTTTCGAAACCCGCATATTGGGGCTTCGAGCTTTGGATTATCTGCGTATGGTTCCGGGTGTTTTGTTTACGGTCCGGGGTGTAGATATACATGTTGACTTACATATCACATGGTGTGTGTGTGTGTGTGTCAGACAGCATATTGCCGCAACATGTGCGTGACGAGGCTGTTGGACCTTGGAATTCTGCGAGTGGTTCGGCTTCCTCTGGTCACTCCGCGTTGTAAAATGTCAGCATCAGAACACGGGGTCTCTTCAAGCTAAATGTGTCGGTCAGGGTTCAAGTTGATGGACGGTCTCCTCAAGCTTCGCAACTGAACCTTGCGTCGCAAAATTGGCTGTGCCTTCGACTAAATGTACAAGAGGCGGCGGATGCTCCCAGCAGCTTGCAAGAAAATGCTGCTTGGCTCCGCTCTCATGCGCCCGACATCGGTGCCAAACGTCACGCTGAGACTGCGAAGCAGGCACCGACAGCCTGGGCTTCTAAGGGTTCCGCTTCAGCTCTGGGGCCGTATGCATAAGTCGTAAGTGACTAATCGTATTGAAGAGTCTTGATGCCTTACCCACGCCCGGGAGTACGCTTAAAGCACTAGGCAGCCTTGACAGGGGACGTGCGTGCCTGCCGAGAACGGAGGACCACTTGTGCAAAGACCGCAAGACAGTGTCATGTCCAAGTGTCAGCATGCGGTGAGCATCGAACGGAACAGACGGGGTCAGGCCTGCCGTCTCTGCGATTGCAGACATGTGGCCGCCATGGGCTTTTCGATGCTATGCCGAAACGGTGCAATGGAGAACTCCAACCCCAATACCCCTGCTTCTTCGTGTAAACTGCCGCAGTCGACAAATACTGACCGACAGGACAACCGGGGCGAATGCAATATGGAAGAGACCTGTCCGATCTGGCGCAAGAAGATCCTGTATATTGCCAATGGATGCTCCGAGAAGCCAAGGCGCCTTGGTCCCAAGCATTCCCTAACCTGGACTTTAGCGCCTGTGGGACCTGGAAAGTCAGCCATATCTTAATGCTGCGCTTGGTACTGAGAGTTCTTGCAAGCCAGGACCTCCTAGGTATCATATATCCATTTGCAACCCATTCGCGAAATCCTCTGAGTCGTCAGCGCTCTTCGGCGTTGCAGCCCAGTTCTCTGCTCACCCGTAGCTCGATACGGTTCGGGGGTTTAGTTCAGCATAAGTACGCAGCCTTTGTAGGCCGGCCTGTTTGTGTTGTGCGAAGCATTATACATACTGGCAGTGCCTTGAATTGCCACATCGATCTGCATAGCATGCTCTGGCATTCGGAGAGGAACCGCATGCTTCGCCAAAGCTTCGCGAAAATGCCAACTGGCTTTTGGAGAACGCGCCGCACCTACAGGAAGGGCTGCGGAAAGTGAATCGCTGCTCCCAGCACTGACGATCACGTGCGCGTTGCTGTGACCTCGCTGACGTTTCTCACCGTGCATCACAGAAGTCAGCCGCTAAATCCTGTCAGAAAACTCTGACAGGAGCAAGGCTTGCTGGTCACAGGCTCGGTCGTGATGTGGTGCTTTGGTTTGGCAAGTCCCTGCTGAAAAGATCTCGAACAATACAGCGAAGGGAAGATAAATAGATCCGTGACGACATGTGCTTATTTGCTCACGGCCGTGTATTTTGCAAGACATGTACTGCGTACCGGTAGGCCTCCGTACTACATACATCATCGGCACAACCTACCATGCAGCTAGGCTTTCGCAGATCTCCCAGCTCCTCGGAGTCAGAGTTTGGCAGGCGGCAAGCATCGCGGCAAAAAGATGTCGGAGCTGCTGGCCGAAGATTCATCCTATTGCCACTGGATTCTGCGAGAGGCTCAGGCCGGGGGTTTTGGGGGCGGTCTCCAAACAGAGCACACCAGCGAGAGCACACCTCATTACGTCACCCGACGCTCCACCGTGGCTGATGCATAGGCACAAGCACATCGAGGGTTCGGATGGAGCATGGTCAGCAGTGGTTAGTCATATGCCTCGGATCTGCAAAACTCTCAGGCAGTGCAGCCGGTCAGTTTTGTCTAGAGTTCAAGCTCTGCATGGTCTGGCAGGAGCCATCCGCAACTCGTGGGATGAAAGACATGGCCGAGTGGCTCACGGAGAATGCGCCACACCTGCAGGACACTTCTTGGTAAAGAGCTAGCTCCTCTTTTCAGATCGTGGGCGGGATAGGCACCGAGACGATGATGCTGCTTGTTGGATTGCTGGACACTGTAAGTAAGACTTGCGTGCGCATCTTGGGCTCGTCGGTTTTTGGATATTTCCGCCGGGCAGGTTTGACACTGTCGTGGATCTCGGGCGCCGCATTGCGTGTTTTGGTGCCCTGAGTACAGTAATCAGCCCATGCCGGCATGCTTAACTGCTTCCACGCCTTTCCGCTCACTTGCGAATCATCGATTCTCGTATAGCTGCTGCCTGAGCTGCTTGATCCCCAGGGTATGGTGGGACTCTTCAAACGTCAGTGTACATGTCGTCTGAGTGTCATCGTCGCTATAGCTTGAGAGCAAGCACCTGGGTGAGAGTTGCTTCCCCGCAGGAGGATGGAGTATTGGCGGCAGGCGGGGTATTGCAGGGTGTTCGTCTTGACGTTGTCTGCAAGCCTCGGGCATGCGAAGGCCTCAGCCGAGCTAAGCGCTTACGCCGCATCATTGCCCACTAGCAGCGGCTGCTTCCCATTGGCCTGCGCAGGCGGCCGTCACAAAGGGCGGCTGCTGTCAGATCTTGTGGTCGACGACCCGACATACTGTCAATGGATTCTCCGCACTGCTCAGGAGGCCATATATGCTTGATTCATTCGACCGGGGGCTTGGCTTAGCTCTTCCCGGCTCACACAATGCGACATGAAGATGTTTGACTGGAAGCAGCGGCTGGCATACACAAGTGTGTCTGCAACCCTGTGCAACTTGCGACCACTCTTGTTTCGGGTCTTGCACTTTCAGGTGTTCAAGGTCCTTCGATTTTCTATGATTTTCTGATACCCGTCGTCAGGCAGGAATGACAGAATGCAGCATTCCCGGCAGCCAAGCTTTCTCCACATTTTCCGCACCTTCACTTGCAAAATCGCAATGCATCCTCGATGCCCAGGCCTCGCATCCTGTTCATTTTGTATTATCATCACTTTCTGGGACCACTTTTGACTCAACATATAATGCACTTCGCCGATGCATGTCAGAACAGTCTCGAACTGATCGGACGTGCGCAAGAAGGAATCGGCACGAGTTGTTCAACGCGTCGTAGACGGAAGAAGGGCGATCCTGCACGAATCAGCGCGTTCTGGTTCTGAGCACATTCATGGGTCATAGCGCCGTACCGCAGGAGCAGTCAAGTGGAGGCCACTTGCGAGCACAAGCTGCGTGGCTCCAAAAGAATGCCCCGCACCTGAAGGACTATGGTAGGGCATCTTGCGAGGGGTGAGTAAACGACTTTGTCGTAGATCCAATAGGCCTGCACCGGATGCTTTAGTGACGTCAAACTGCAAAATACATGACGTCCGATCTTGGTTAACAGCCCGTGCAGGACTAAGTTGCAGGCACCACTTGCTTCAATAATTGGCACTGCTCCTTCTGTTGAGTGTTCGTGAAGCTGGTTGGAACGGATTAGCAGTTAATTTTTGCCATTGTGTGCAGGAGGTTCCGGTCGTCAGCTTGAGAAGCGCGCACAAAGGAGTTCCCGTGCCACAAGTCGTTGCGGAGGCCGTGCAAATACTGCTTCAAGAGCACAGCGCAGAAGATGCAAGTGCTTGCACAGCTACTGCAAGAGATTTTGCGAAGCGTGCATGTTCCTGGATGGAGGGCCTGTTTCTTGCGATTGGGCGACTGCTCGTGTTTAGCAGTGTTTGCACAGTGGGCAAGGACCCTCGCTGGTGCAGCTTCGTTCTGAGGCAAGAAGAGGACCTGGTGCATCTGTACATGACATTCTATGTCCCTTATACACTTCACGAAACAGTGTGCAGTCTTTTATTGTAGCTCAGGACAAACCTGGGCAGGCGTATAGAGGTTTCACAGGGTTCAGGTCTCGCATTGCGGGTCTCGCATCTCCTCGCTGAGCCAGAAGGCACGCTCCCGCGGATTTGCAATTGCTGCCGTGCCGGGGCTGAATACGTAGAGAGACCCGAGATGGAAGCATGGTTGTGCATGTTCTGCTGTATGTATGAAGGTACGAGGCAAATCATGCTAACACTGGCTGGCGGCTTTTGACGCAACGGTTCTGTGCCAAAGTGCAGCCTTCACAAGTAGAGATTTCGGAGCAGGTCATCCAGTACCGGTTCCAGTGTCGTTTGATCCCGTAGCATATTTGCCGCATTCTGGTTGCTTCTTTCCTTCGGAATGAAACAAGTTGAAGGTTGAACAAAAACGCATCTAGAGAAGGACGCCAGGCCAATCAGTGTACTAGACTGGACACAGCTTCCCTTCTGTCATGTAGGGCCTTTGGTTAACATAGTCATGGCATAGTCATGAGTCGACTCTACAGCTGGCAGGCCTTTTGGGCAGCACACCCATTGCTTATCGCACAAGACTTTACCTGATGTCGTCAGCCGAAGCCGAGAGTGTATATTACGGGACTCGTAGTGCGTATTAGGCAACGGTGGCAGTGTGGTCCTCGCTGGTGCGCATAAGCAGTCTCATGCTCGAGCAACAGCTCTGTGTCAGCGGCCTCACCCGAGGAATGGCTTCGTGAGAAGGCTCCTGAGCTGCTTGAGGCACAGGATGCGGCTCAGCAGAAGATTGGGGAACTTGACTTTCGCAAACATGTTTCTGACTTGTGTGTGCATGCAGTGCATGCATGCACATATATCTGCACACGCATGCACGGATGGATGTATGGATGGGTGGATGGAATCATGCACGCAGGCGTGCATGCCTGCATGCATGCAATTATGTATGCAGTGCAGTGCGATGTAGCTTCCTGTAACGTGATGTGACTCAATGTGGTGTAATGTAAAATCCTGGCTAGTGTAATCTGAAGTGGTGCGATCTAGTGAAATGCTATGCCGCTATGCATTGCAACGTATGCACGACATGTATTGGTATGCCAGGCTGTGTGGGTCGGTATGTAGCACGTGCATGTACTAATATGTATGTCACGTATGTAACGTGTCGAGCGCACGTACATATCTACGTTCGCATGCACACTATTTTTGCATGTACGCAAGCATGTGTTTATGTTGCATGTATGTCTGAAATGGCCTTGGCATGTTCAATCTGTGCAGGATGTAAATAACCTCAATCTGGTGAAGTGTATGTGTTGTTTGTATGTACGTACATATGTAAGAATGTATGTACATGGGCATTGCATGTTGGTCCGCCGGAATGTGGGTATGAATGAATGAAAGTATGTATGTATGTAGGTATGTCGGTGGTACTGCATGTACATGTGGATGGAAGGATGCACGGATCGATGGATGCATGTATCTAGTGTGTAGTGGTGCATAGGTAGATGAGATGGTGTGACAACTCCGGGACAGATTGTGGCATTGCATGCCAAGGAGCGTCTTCACGCATAACGAACACTCTACTGACTTGCAAATGTGAACTCATGGATCTACTTGTTCCACTATGTTCTCGTGGATGCAAACAGTTGCAGATGCTTACGCAAATGCTGCCAACTGGCACGTGTTTTGCTCTCACACTCAATAAATACGAAACTGTTCCGCATGTGCGGTGCAGGTATGCAGGGTTTCTGTTTAACACGTCGGTGCAATGTTCTTGTTCGCTAAAGTTGAGTTGTAGAGCTTTTTCTCGCATTCGAGACTTGGGTTGGGGTGGCGATCCCTACGGGCAGGCCTCCTGGCCGGAACGAGCATGTTGGGCCCCACCGGGAGATCCTTGGGCACCTGAAAGACCGAACGCTGAGATTCCAACCTTGGCTCTGAAACCTAGAGTTTGTTTCTTGCACCTTCTCGGCTCAGGACGCCGAGATTGCGCAGATTGGCCAGAAGTTCTTCAAGCAGTACGGTCAGCATTTCGTCGTTCGATCTGGCAAGCATCGAATGAAGACTTTTGCAGTAGTCGTCAAGGACTCCCGGGCCAAAGACACTATGTACTGCACGCAGCACACATTGACTTTGTGTGTGCAGGTTTCCCGCAGGTGCTTGCAATAGGATAGGTATATACATAGCAGATACATACATACTTACTTATGTGCATATGTGTGCGTGTGCACGTGTGGCTGTGTTTTTTTGAGTGCATGTGTACAAGCATGTGAGTGCAGTTATAAATGCGTTCGTTCATGTATTTGGTTGGGCGAAGTTGTGCTAGCGTGCTTCTTTGTGCGTACGTGAGTTTGTGCGGCGAGTGCCTGTGAGTGTGTTTGTGCTGGCGTGCAGGTGTGATGTTGGTCTATCTGTAGGCGTGTGTATGAGAAGTCATGCCAGATGTTGTTAAATTGCTTCTTTCCAGAGCAGCCTTCTCTAGTATCCATAGTTGCAAAAACTTCGTCGCTGAGTAGGTGCGGCAACCTGCAACCCACCATTTTGGGTACATGTGATTCTACCAGACTTGGCCGATTTATGCATTAACATGAACCAGTCGTCTCAGCACCAAGGACAGCATATCTTGACGATGTAGTCCTGTTTTGAATCTTGCCTCGAGTCTTCGGAGGAAGGATATTTGTAAGGCTCCATGTACTACTTCCACAGTTCATGTCATGAGTGACGGAGAGGACGATCCGAAATTTGTGGAATGGGCACTGCAGCAGTCCACCTCCGACGCTGGCCGACCGGGCATGTCCTCTTAGACTCAGTTGTTGATTCATATTCGCAGAGTTTCGACTGCAGGAGGGATCGTCTGATCTTCGCGCTGCCCATCTTGCTAAAGGATCATGAAAGATCGACGACAACCGCTGAAGCAGTTGTGTTCAAACAGCTGCAGCTGGCGTTTACCGGAGCAGAAACAGGAGTCTCAGGAAAGTCGGATGCTGGTTTATATGCAACCAGTCGCTGCCCACAGACATGCACCCATCCGGAAGGTTATTGGGGCTTCATCACGCCTCGTTCGTTTGGAACGAGCATCATACTAGTGCCAGGTTGCAACAAGAACATCCAATTCTTTGCCGCATTCGTGAGCCAGCAGTCCAGCCAGGAGCGGGAGACCATGCTTGCGAGTTAACTTTTCTGTCTGGTTCTTAGTAGGGAATGGGGGAATGGATTATGGAGACTATTGATAATATAGGAGCTACTATAGGGATCCATTCCCCCAGCACCTACTAAGCACCAGACTGTTTTCATCCAACTTGCCGTTAGGATCTGTTGACCCTATGTCAGTTCAGGGGTGACTGTCCATGCCGACAGGAGACAGCCGACAGCTTCAAGCGCGAAGCCGTCACTTTCCACAAGAAGGCTTCAAACACTTCACGGCAGTGCAAGCTGTTATCAGATATCCTGGCAAGGGTCAGTTCGGCGACTGTGGTTGTTGAGTGCCAGGCAGAATGGCCTTGAGAAAGCCGGGATGCTAGGTGGGCGCAGGGGACAGAGGCGCCCTCCACATCTTCGGCAAACCTTTAGGGATACTTACCCCCAGGGCTCCAGCTACTTATCGTGAATAGTAGGTTACTACACATATCATTCCATATGCAACCCAGTAACCCATAACCTAGGCAACTGGAGCCCACTAAGTCAGGTTCGTCATGTTCGAGCTCGCAAGACTGCTGAGAGCTCGGCGGCTTGAGGTCGAAGGCGTTAACGTGTGGGAGTTACTGTCGCCGTTGGAACATGAGCCTTCAGATTCATGACGTGTCACGAACTTCTTTCCCAGTTTCCATTTTTCGTAGATTATAGTACTCTGGTAGTTGGTAGTATGATGTATTATTTCATAGCTCTTCTTTCTGGTCAGCTTCAGTTTGCTGGAGCTCGGGTGCGGTACAGCAGCAGGGCGAAGCCCTGCATGCCTGTCCAGAAGATGAACCCAAGTGTAGCATCTAGCACCCTGAGATGTGACGATGCCATGGGTACGTGTTCCTCTGTTCCATTTTAAGTCCTCTGTGGTTCTTGGGTGGGGTGCGAGGTTGGGTTCATGAGCTTCAACAGCGGAGAACCCTGTTCCTTGTGCATGGTGGGGAGAGCATGTGCCGAGGCAGCCTGGGGAAGCAAAATCGCAGACATGCCGGCAGTTGAGTGTAGCAGTGTAGCAGGTCTGTACGTCCGGCATTCAACTTCTTTTTGAGGAGTTCATGAAGTTCAGCCGTCCTTCCGCGGCTGCCAGCCCTCACTACACAAGTAGTGCACGCATGACCTGCCTGGGTTCAAGAGAGGCCGTTGCTCGGGGCAGCTTCCTGCTCAAGGGTTTGTGTGGAGAGCTCGTTTCACGTGATCGTCGCTGCTCAGACATGAGGACGGCACGGATGACAGTTGCGGCAGTTAAGTTGTTGAGGAAAGACATGGAAAGACCGTAAAGCAGAGTAATATAGGGGCTTAGATAATTATGTCAATACTGTCTTGGAGTCTTGGAGATCCATATGTTTGTTTTAGTCTAATTAATTACCCATAAACCCTATTCTAATTATTAGAAGAGGGTTTAAGGGTAGTTATATTAATTAGACTAAAACAAACATATGGATCTCCAAAACATTAGGGCCCCTGTGTTTGTTTTTGTCGAGTGCTGGTCTGCGAGCTAGGACTCCTTTGTCTAGCGTGGAAGTCTACCAAGGAAGGTTCCATGTGCGGCTATGATGGGGATAACCCTACTTGGGACGCTTATAACCCCATTTACAACCCTACTTACCAAGTTCCTTGAGCCCAATCGCTGACCTCGGCATGCAGTCGCGACAGTTTTCCGAGCTAAGACATCCCGGTGGGGGGGGACGGGCCACAGCGAAGGAGATCGTTATTGAAGTTGAGCCTTCCGGCATGCGGCCGTAAGGGCCTTGCCCGGACGACGCCAATGCAGCTAAGCTGTCTTTGCTCGATTCACTACCGGTTCTTCTATGTGGCAGCTTGCAGGGTTTTGGTTGGATTGGGTCCCTGCCCGTCTTGATGGAACCTTGCTGAAGAATTACCTAGAGACTCTGTGACCAACGTTTCGCTGCTTTGCTGCAAACTTCTGCAACCACAGATCATTTCCGAACATGGGGTGTCTAGTGCGCCACAGCCCAGGCAGGGGCTTTGCAGGCGCTCTGCTGCCACTGTGTCAGATTCGTGCATGCCAGCAACTGCCGGCATGGACTGCATGTTCGGATACTGGACCGCAGTCAAGTGCGCCACCCATAGCGAGTTCTCGCAGGTTGTGGCCAGCTGAAATTCCGCCACTTTGTTGGTGTTTGTTCCATATATGACTTAGGACGAAAGTACTACGGCCGGCCTTTGCACGAAGTTGTCTCAAAAGATCCTGGATATTGTCGCTGGATGCTCGGAAAGGCTGAGGACTCGGCAGGGGTCCAAATTACAAGCCCCGCACTGACTACAAGCATCCAATCATTTTTTGACTCTGTAGTTCTGGACCTGACTCATGCTTGCCTCATGTTCGTGTTGCTTCACGGTGCCACTGTGCACCGTGAGTTGCTCGAACCTGCTAGCGAGTCTAACGTCTTGGTGCACCGCCCAACACCTGGCTTTATCTCTCTGACTCTCAAACGCTTTCTGCCTCAATCACGTGAAGGAGGACGGTGCCCCACCGGGATTGCTGGAGAACGCCGCCTGGCTAACGCAGCATGCGCCGCTGTTGAAGGCAGGATCCTGCCAGGGAGCCGTGTCAGACAAAGCCGAACGAGTTCACTCCTGCAATAAGGACATTGGGCGGTGAGGCTTTGAGTTGGGCCTGATTTGAGGGCTGCTAGGTGGCGGGCAACCTAACTGCTTTACAGTGTAATGGTTGCATTTTCCTTGGATGTACACGATACATGGACACTTCCGCATATGTCTCCTCTCTGTTTTGTAACCTTTGACACACCCACGGTACCATGTAATCATGACATTCGCCTGCAATTGGGGGCTGTCGCCGAGTTGAAACTTGGAAGGTTCCTCGTGAGCTCGTGGAAGGCCGGGAGTTTGGGGTGATCCCTTGCAGCGTTGCCCAATTACAGCAGGGCTCAGACATGGGTTTCAACTTGTTTCACCTGTACTTGTAGCCGAAACCCTGATCTCAGACCTTGCCAGGCTTTGTCCGAGTGTGAGTGTCAAAAAATCCCTGAGCTCATGACTGGCTGCCGTAGAGCGGCTTGTCTCATACTCATGCTCAGACAACCACAACAGACGCACAAGCATGTCTCCTGGCAATGTAATGCTTACCTTTGTTGCATTCCGAATGAGTGAGAACGAACTTGAAACTGGGGTTGGTGGTATAGGATGCAGATCGAGATACACGACACCTCTTAACTCCCTTGACTGACATCAATGTGTCGGGGAGATGACGACTGTTTGTGAAGCATTGTTTTTTCAAGAGGCATGCGACGTTTGGGATGAGTTGGTCTGATTAAGCCTCGCCTTTTCGCAGTTCCGCTCACAGAGACGCAAGGCTGCTTATTGCTACCTTTCCAGCAAACAGACGGTCTTCACAACTTTAGGATGCCACACCGTGATAGAGCGTGCGGAATTCAGCGGATGCACGCCAAGAGCGTGTTGCTCCATCAAAGAAGGGGTTTGGTGAGCCGAAGAAGAGGCCGGATAAAATCAAAGTACATGAGATGGTTAACATTACACGATTACATCCCCCTTCTTCGAAGTTTTCAGGAATCGTTGAAATGCATGGGATGATTAATGTTAGTTAGTGATTGTCTGAACGAAATGTCTAGCAGTCGCTTGACTCAGAGAGTATACATTTGGTCTGAAGCGCTGCGCAGCATAAACTAAAGCTTCAAGCGCTACTGTCAACTAGTTTCTTTTCCCTCCAGGTGGAAAGCATCGTGGACGGCGGCTGTCTGAGCTGGTGCATAAAGACCCGATGTACTGCCAATGGATTCTTCGTCAGGCTAAGGCAGCTTGTGCTCAAGTTGCACTGCATGGATCACACTGCACTCGCCTTATGGCAAGCATTGTTTGCGCACTGTATGTCAAGGGTAGCGTTTATCGGGTAGGCAAGCAGCTTTGGCAAGAGTCTTGGGTCTTTCGTCAGTGGTGTGGAAACACATCTTGTGCAGGCGGGGGACGCCCTGCCATCGGTACGAGAAAAAGCTTCCTGGCTGGAGCAGAACGCGCCACACCTGAAAGCTGCAGCCTGGCAGAAGCATTTTGGCTGTGGCTCGTCTGTGATGGGCCAGCGACCGTGGATCTGGAGATGAAGGTCAAGCAGATTAGACTCGTTTGAGCCTGGTTGCCAATTAAAATATTCAACACACTCGACGTCGTCACCTTGGTGCGAGACTCGCTTTGACGCTTTGTCTCTTCGCATGAGTGTAACAACGGAGTCGGACGGTTATATAGCATACAAGGTTTCCGTGTGATCAATGAGGTTTGCCACAGCCCTGTTATTCCCTGGTGGCATGCTATTGACTTTATCATACCTTATCGGAAGCACTTCCAGCCTATTCGGATCTCGACCCTAAACCACTAAGCTCGCCTGGTCCGTCCGAGTGTGAGTGCCGAAGCCCCAAAACCATCTGCAAGGACCAACCTCTACCCGGCTTCCTTTCAGGTGCCTTGGCTTGCATTTGTTCTGCATTCGCCGGGAGGACATCTTGAGTACCAAGACCGGTGGATTCGTCTCACATGGTAGCACGGGGCATGTGACCATTGATGTGCGTGGCCAGGTGGGAAGCATCACGGACGAGCCCTGTCCGAAGTGGTCGCCCAGGATCCGGCCTATTGCCAATGGATCCTTCGAGAGGCCGAGGTCCCCTGATGCTGCAGACTGCTGAGGAGCATGACTCCGAATGCACGCCACAAGACTAATCAGTGCAGTTCCTCGATGTTGCTGGCAGTGACAGCTCGCAACTGCTGTCGTGATCTTTCGTGAATATTGTGAATTGGTTGTGTTTGTGAGCAACTATATCATTTCTGTGCAGGCGATGTTGGCGCTGCAGAACCCTTTTTCTTGGTTCTGGCTCCAAGCCTGTAAGAAACGTACCAGTCTTTGCGGAAGGCGCCCCGACCTTCAGAAGCAGTTCGCGAAGCCGCGGATTGGCTCAGGAAGAATGCCCCAAACTTGAAGCAGGACTCCGAGAGTCGTTTGCCAGTGGCATGCCTGGTGTAACGCAGAATCTTCGGTTCATATGCAGGGCCTTCAGGGGCGGGGCAGGATGTCCGAACCGCAGAGGAGTATACTCCCACTTGCTAAAGTCGTTGCGTTTTGTTCGTGGCAGCGCCAGACCTTCGGGGGAAGCTTTGTTGCGAGGTCGTTGCGTTTCGGTGTGCACATGGCAGTAAGGCTTCCAAGATGAGATCTGCGGTGTTTGTTTCCTGCAGGCTCCAGGCCCGAAGTCGTCCCAGGTCCAGTGTGCAATTGGGGATTCTGATAAACCGCGTCAATCGGGATCCTCGGACATGCTTGTAAACTAGATGCTTCAGCCAGTGTGCAGCTGCTGTTTGCGATTCCAACGGTACCAGCAGCAGGTTTAAGTTGCCCCTGCCGGGGCGAAGTCGTCCCAAGTGCCGCAAGGGTTTGGGATAGTTTGCCATGCCCCTATCATATCTTGTTTCCCATCCAGTTTACTTTCTGCGCGATCCAGTACTGTGCGCGGTCTTTCCTTGAGCTTGGATAGATGTTGTGATGCCACTTGTGTCTGGAGTTGGTGCTTGGGACATCGAGCGTCTACATGGGGAATGGTTGGTTTTGATTTGCCGTTTGCTGTGATGCCACTAAGTGCATGCATCTCGGGGTCCGTTCTTCACCTGTTCACGGAGGTGTGCGCTTGCAGAAGGCTGCAAATACCAACAGCAGCACGCGGGTTAAGTACATGCATCTCGGGGACCTGTCCCCGGAGGTCTGCACTGGCAGAAGGCTGCCAAAACGAGCCGCAACACGCAGGTATAAGTGCATACATCTCGGGGTCCGTTCTTCACCTGTCCTCGGAGGTGTGCACTTGCAGAAGGCTGCAAAAACGAACCGCAGCACGCAGGTATAAGTGCATGCATCTCAGGGTCCGTTTGTCACCTGTCCCCGGAGGTGTGCACTTGCAGAAGGCCTTCACCTGTCCCCGGAGGTGTGCACTTGCAAAAGGCTGCAAAAACGATCAGCAGCACGCAGGTATAAGTGCATGCATCTCAGGGTCCGTTCTTCACCTGTCCCCGGAGGTGTGCACTTGCGGAAGGCTGCCAAAACGAACCGCAACACGCAGTTATAAGTGCATGCATGTCGGGGTCCGTTCTTCACCTGTCCCCGGAAGTGTGCACTGGCAAAAGGCTGCAAAAACGAGCCGCAGCACGCGGGCTTTCACATGAGTTGTTCACTCTTGGGGGACGGTGTGCACGGGGTGTGTTCTTGTGGGAACGGGCAAATGCAAGAATTTTGCAGCGACCCCAGTCGTTGTTTGTGTGCAGATGGGGAAGCATCAAAAACACGAAATGCAACGACAAAAGCGCGTCAGAGGTTTCCGAAAATTAGGGGTACCTTATTTTGTGTCCTTCTAATAAGAATCCTATTATTTAGTGTACTTTATTAGGGCCACTTTTTTCGGAAATTCCGATAACTTCATTTTGAACGGTCGTCTGAGTGTGAGTGCCGAAACCCCAAAACCATCTGCAAGGACCAACCTCTACCCGGCTTCCTTTCAGGTGCCTTGGCTTGCATTTGTTCTGCATTCACCGGGAGGACATCTTGAGGACCATGACCGGTGGACTCGTTTCACATGGCAGCACGGGGCATGTGACCATTGATGTGCGTGAAGGTGGGAAGCATCACGGACGAGCCCTGTCCGAAGTGGTCGCCCAGGATCCGGCCTATTGCCAATGGATCCTTCGAGAGGCCGAGGTCCCAAGACTGTAGGGGGGGCATGACTCCGAATGCACACCACAAGAGTAATCCGTGCAGCTCCTTGACGTTGCTGGCAGTGACAGCTCGCCATTGCTTTCGTGATCTTTCGTGAATATTGTGACTTGGTTGTTTTTGTGAGCAACGATATCATTTCTGTGCAGGCGATGTTGGCGCCGCAGCACCCTTTCCCTGGTTCTGGCTCCAAGCCTGTAAGAAACGTACCAGTCTTTGTGGAAGGCGCCCCGACCTTCAGAAGCAGTTCGCGAAGCCGCGGATTGGCTCAGGAAGAATGCGCCAAACTTGAAGCAGGACTTCGAGAGTCGTTTGCCTAGTGGCATGCCTGGTGTAACGCAGAATCTTCGGTTCATATGCAGGGCCTTCAGGGGTGGGGCAGGATGTCCGAACCGCAAAGGAGTATAGTGCTTTCGTCATGATGCGGCTTCGGCAGGATCGAGCACTCCGACTGCAAGGCGGCATGGCGACCTTGCTAATTGTTGTTGGGAAGTGTTGTCGGACACGGCAAAAATGCTGGTTTAAGGGAGGAAACATGAGATTGTGCCAGATGGTTCGTTCACTTCTATGGAGTGGAGGAGCCAACCCGAATAATTAGGTTGGAGACATTTGACTGTGCGACAGCTTCGGCTGGACCTTGCATTGAGGCAAACATGCTTGATACGGCCATGAAGCTGTCGGTATCGAGCATACTTGACCTAGGGGGAACGAGCACGTTCTCGAGACAATTGCACGCACTGCTTCATCGATGCGATTGGAGCAGTGAGCCAGGTGCCAAGTATTACGGGCGCCTTGTATCTGAACTTGTCAGCGAAGATCCAGGATATTGCCAGTGGCTTCTCCGAGCAGCTGAGGAGACTTAATTCAGGTTGGAAGGGCATCGACCACTGGATTCACAAACTCATTTACGCCAGCAGTATCCGTCTTGGGGCTTGGGACTTGCCCGGTTTTCTTTGCAGCTGTTCTCTGGCCATAATTCGCCATGAAGGCAAACGAAAGCAATATGGGCACTCCTCATTAGACTTACTTTATTACACGATACAACGGATCCAAGCTCTAGCTGCGCGAGCCTTCTTCTTCAAAGGTTGCTGTCGCATCTCTTCCGGAAACTTTTCCAGAGCTGTGATTCCCTGGTTCCGGCATTTGTCGGGCATCCTCCGGTTTGAGCAGCCAAGTCCCCAGGAAGCAGATGCAGATCAGTGGGTGAAAGAGCCTGCTGCCTGGCTTGTGGCGAATGCTCCGCACCTCAAGGATGACGGTAGTCTTCATAAGTAGGTTGGGCCGGCTACATGATGACATTACTTGTCTTGTCAGCCGTCAGTTGTCAGACAGCACCAACATGCAGGAGACGCCTGTCGTGACAGTCAGATGCAGACATCGCGGAATTCCTCTTCCCCAGGTGGTTGCTGAAGTTCCTCATTGATGATTCATTAACTGTTTTGCAGGTCTGACCTGTGCTGCCCAAGTCATCTCCTAGGTCCCAGATCTGGTAATGATTTCCGAAATGTTCGTTACATGCCGGTCGTGATGATTGCATGGTCGGTCTGGTATGCAGAGGAGAGGCTGATGCAACCCCGCATAGATTTGTCTGCCTCTTCTTTTTTGCATAGGCTCAGGCACCTTCCTTGAGTTCCCTGGCCGACTGTGTCAGTTAGCAGAGTCCGATTGCATGGCCGGTTGGTACTGAGGGGGTTCGAACAGAATCTTCCTCGGTCTTCATGTTTTAAGCAAACTATGCTGTGTTCGTCATTCGCTGCTTCAAGGACCCACACTGGTGCATTTTCGCTTTGCAACCTCTGCAGGACTCATCTGCATTCTAAGGGTAAGTCAGACAGGGACAGAGGGAGTGAGTAGTCAGTGCTGTGTCTGCGCACCCATGTGTCAGGAGCACGGTAGTAGAGGATTCGTCGAAGCTTCAGTGTCCTGGCCACTGTGGTTTCAGTCTTTGCTGCTGTTTGCTGCCATTCATGGTGATGATTGCGTTGATTCTATTGGCTTTTGAGGAACCGCCGGCATGTTCAGAGTTCGGTCTGCTGTGTCCCGGATGGAGTCCGGGTGGAGGGAGGTGTTGACCCACTTTGCGAGAGCTTCAGGAGAGAGGAAATGTCTGTAGCCAGCTGTAGTAACTTTACAGTAGTGGGCCCCGTAACTGTTTCCCAGTTGTCGAGTTGTCGCAGACATTTGGACAGAAGTGCTTGACTCGCCTGAGGACTCTTCGTGTATCCTTGCTCTTTTCGTGAGCCCTTAGCTTTTTTGTGATGTCTGACCTGATTAGGGAGCGCCCGGTTTCGGAGTTTGCATTTGCAGCTTTCTGTGACGAGCAGACCATTCCCCGACCCCCGTGGCAGCATCGCACGACCACGAAGTCAAGGCGTGGCTTCGAGAACATGCTCCTGAGCTTCTGGAGGTGAAAGAGGCACGTTCTGCTGCGTTAGATCAGGGATCCCAGCAACATTGACGACGATCATGACAAACAGCAACAGCTGTATTCAGAGTCAGTGCATGTGAAGTTCTTACGAGCAGCCAGGCGGTAACTCCAGCTGCTCTTGACATGTGCACAGAGAGAGAGAGAGAGAGAGAGAGCTCTTCTGCATGCTCAGGATGATGAGGAGGCCTTGGCCAAGCTCGGGCGGACATTACTCCGGCGTCATGGCAACCACTTTGTTCTTCGCACTGGCAAGTATCGAATGAAGACTTTCCAGACGGTCATCAAGGACGGACCTGACTGTTCATGTCAATCAACTGCCTTTGCAGCATTGAGATTTTCTTCGGGCACACAGGCTAGTTACCGTTGCGGACGTTGTGACTGTACAGTTGACGCGTTGATCCAGAAGACCCGGCTTTGCCTTCCCACAACCACCCCTGTCCGTCTGGGTTTGTTCTTCCACGGCGCGTTCTGATGACTTAAATTGATTTTATGATGCCTCGTTATGGTGCATTCTCAGCATATTCATTGTTAATAGTTCTTCGCTGTTGCCGAGCAACGCCTTAACCAAGAATTTAGGCCCAGTATAATAACTACACGAGCTTTAACAGCAGTTCCTGCATTGCTACGAATACGGCACCCCAGAGTTGACTATGTACTTCGCCTCCACTGATTGACCTTGCGCCAATTTCGCATACAACCAGGTTGTGTGAGAGTACCTTAAATTGCTGTTGCACCGCCACAGTGTTGTCGCAAAGATGTCCTGAATGTGACACGGCTACATGCACACAGCAATCGAAGAACAGGCCGTCACCACTCAGCCTTCGATGACAGCTTCAGTCCCATGTTCTTGAAATCTGTTCATTCAGAACTTGCGCTTCTGACATCTGACACAGCCAGGAGGCCCCAAAGTACGTTCGTTGGGTCCAGCGATGCCTCCGAAATTCCTCCACTGGTGAAGGCACCTCGAGTCGGTTTTGGACGGGAGGTTGGCTCGAATGGTCCGAGGGTTGGTTGGTTGGTTGGTTTGAGGACCCGCCTTGCATTTCGACTTTCCTTTCTGATTCGTTGATGCGGGGCGACTGCAAATCGGCACATCCTGCATCTCCTGTGATCATTCATGCCAGCCCTGCCTTTCCCAGTAAAGATCCGCAGGCAACCAGCTTGGCACTAAGAACTTTCAACTCTTGGCAGATTTTGCCCGTCTCGACGGACAGGCCAGGGGAAACATTTACAAATTCGAGCTATCCATGTAATTACAGCTGAAAAGTTAGTCGGGTTATTGTTGCCGCATTGCACTGGCATGTTGCTACATAGGTGGGGCTTGTTGTACTATATCTTTGGGCGTGAGCAATGTGGCGTTGGTTTTTGCACGTTAAGGCATTACACGGATAGCATGTGCTCGCAGGTTGCATTCCGCTTCCGAATCGAAAAGCAGACAGTTTCACTTCCATCTTCTATTCATGCAGACCGTCGCAGTCTGATCCGATGTGCGAATTGAAAGACTTCCAGTAGCTGCAATCATCAAAGGATGTTGCCCGCAGCAACAGACGGCGGTAGAACAGCATAAGGAGAAACGGTACAAAAGCGTAAGGTAAGGAGAAATCTGTGAAGGTTGGGGTGTTGTTCCGTGGAACCTGGTGTGAGGCCTTGGCCCTTTTGCTCAAGCAGCTTGGGGATGGTCGGGTTGATGCAAATCTCTGGTTGTTACATTTTTAAGTTTGTCTTGCGTGTGGCCTGAACCAGCTTTCCATGACCCCTGAGCCAGGTTCCGAACCGGCAAGGATCGCAGGATGCAGCACACTGAACGCCTTGAGTTTCGAGGATGACGCCGTTTCATGAATTTCCTGGCTGTTGGAACCTCAAAAGTTGAAGCGCTGACGGATGGGGAACGGGGACCTTGTGCTTTCACAATCCTGCCAGTCTGAGCTGCAGCCAGCCGTGCTGGATCGTGACGGCACAACAAGTACTGTACAGACCGCAAATGCCTCCGTGTGCAAGACCCGTCGAGAAGTTTTGGTATGTATGCTGGAAGCCTGCCGCAGTTAGCATCTTTTTGCACCGGTGGTGTTTCCTTGGTCTTTATGGGCATAGTAGCAGCAGCGTGCAAGAGCAACGCGTGCTGTTTCCGGCCAAAGTGCTTCATCAAATCAAAACTTGTGGGGGACCAGCTGAGGGGAAAAGAGAGCTGTGTCTAGCAAGCAGCCGGGAGTTTGCTTTTCGGTCTCTCCGGGTGAAGCTCACTTTCCACCCCAGTCTCTTCTAAGAAAAATGTCGTTACCAGAAATCAGCAAGCTCCGTGCTTTAAGTACCTCCTGGTTTCAATGTTGTGATTGATATACCAACGCGACCTAAATTTAAAATGGCTCCTTTAGTGTACCAGCCGCCCCGCTGTCTTTCGCAATCAAGCTCTTTGAAGCTATCTGTCCAGGTTCCACACAAACGGCAGTGCCAGCCCACCCTTAACAGGCCCTTAACACAGCAATGACATTTTGGCCCATCCAGTGTTACGTCTACGACAGCTCAACTTTTAGTTTCTTTTCGTCTGCACTTTATTCTATTTTCTTTATAGACCACAGAGAGTGGGTGCTTCTTTAGCCTGTGCTTTGTGGAGGCTGGGAGTGGGATCGGAGATCAGCTGCAAAGTTTTGTGGCTGATACGTGGCATCGAAACATCCTGACTCCCGCGTGCCAGGGTATGTCAGCAGCTTTCGTCAAGCTCGCGAATGCGTCATCCTCATCGTTGGACGCTCAAGTTGAGAAGATTCTTCAGTTTTTCGAGATTGGTCCGTTACTTCAGAGATGCACGCAACAGCCCACAGTTGCAAGTGCTGAATTTGTGGTTTGACTGCTTGAATCATCGTTCACATCAGAAGCTTTTCGACTCCGAAGCCACAGCAGCCGCAATTGGCTTCCTCTCTTTCCTCACAGGTGGGGACGAGCGCTTCATCTGAACCTGCCGAAGGTGGCCGTGGCCGACACCCGCAGCGCGCGGCTTGACTTATACTGACCGGGGCGCTGTTTGCCGGCTTCGTGCCCGGAGCACAACGGTATGGCACAAGCTTGCAGATACGGGCATGATTTCAAGCGTCACAACTCTGGGTCAGGTTTCCATGGGGATTCTGTCCTTCCTGTCCAGACCTAGGCTTCCTCAGCATCGTGCGGCATCTGGAGCAGCCAGAACAAAGGCGGCGGAGCCGGACGCGTCGCAGAGATCCGGATTGGCATGTTGGTTTGGAGACTTGCAGAAACCTACAGTGTATTCGCCTTTGTGTCTGAAGCTCCACCCCTCTAACGAAGTGTTAAAGGACACGGGGTCGTGCACCTGTGGTGCCGCATGCGAGATCTCGTCTTGACTAGATCTCCTGCCTGGGTCATGACGGAGTAATCTCAAGTAGACAGCAGGAAACACCATGTAGCAAGGCTTTCGCAGAGATATGAGAGATGTTGGCTTGTGGACTGCAGCGGCTTCGGAGTCGAAGTACAGTCCAGAGTGCAACAAGGAGCCAACTTCCATTTACGATTGTTTCTGGGCAGAAAGACATGCCTAAGGACAACAACACTATGGACGGCCTATGTCACAAGTGGCGGCAGAAGATCCTGGATACTGCCGATGGATTCTGCGCGTGGCTGAGGCCGTGCATAGAAGGGGTTTGTTTGGTCTGTCAAAGGCATGTGCGACTTCGCTATCTGCAGGAAGGGCTGACTAGGCCTAGCGCCTGGCCAGCTCTTGCAATAAGCGTTTTTGCAGTTCTGTGATGTTAAGATGTCGGAAGAACTGTGTTTCTTGGCATGCCAGCGAGCATGTCGTAACCAGGGGAACGAGAATGTGAGTCTTCAAGGTTTGCTCTGCCGTCGTTCTGCCAGTTTGTTTCTGAAGCTTCCAGGAAGATACTTCATCGCGGCAGCTGCAGCAAGCTGCTGCCTGGCTCTCCCTGAATGCTCCCCATCTGAAGGACAAGTCCGCTTCTCTATGACCCCATGAATCCATCAGCTCCAACACTTGTGGCATAGTGGCGCTTGCAACCCAAACAGACAGCTTGGCTTCGTTTGCTTCGATGTCCAGCTCCGCAACCATATTTGACATGCTCCTGTCTCCCAGAAGAGGACGGCAGCGAGCAGCTGCGGGCAGGCTGCCTTGTTTACAGCCTATGATCTCTGAATGTGTAATTTACTTGCAGTGTTTGGAGCATGATGCAACTGCGAAGCTGTCCGGTTTAGGTTTTGCTACCTGCCTTAGACAGCCAGCTTTTTCACAATAGCCTGATGAAGACTTGGCATGAGTGGGGTGTGGGCTGGGGTCATGTGCAACTAGCACAAGTGGGCCTGTTCGTCCTGCCACCCGTGGTGTTCTTCTTAAGGGATGTATATGGCATGTACTCTTCCAATCTGACTCAAGGTCTTAACCATTGACGCAAAAGTTTCTAAACCCTAAACTTATTAACCCTCAAGAGTAATGAAACATATGGTTTCTATTGACCAGATGCGTCATGGTACGCTTCGTAATGGTACATAGGGAACGGTTCGAGGGTACATAGGGGACGCTTCCGGGCACATAGGGAACGCTGCGAGGGTACAGAGGGGACGCTTCGAGGGCACCTGTGCCATCGTACCGTGCCCTATGCGCACCGTATATGTTATGCTAAATGGGGTCCATGTCATGCTAAATATGGTACGGTATGATGGTACATAGGGTACGGTACATGGTACGGTACAGTGGTACACGTCATACGGCATGTGGTACATGTCATGTGCAATTGTACCTTACCTGTTGTACCGTACCATGCGTACCTCTCACGCCGTACCGCGCGTACCCCTTGTACCGTACTGGTACCATGCGTACCCCTTGTACGGTACCATGCGTGCCGCTTGTACCGTACCATGCGTGCCTCATGTGCCGTACCATTGTCCTGGGCCCTGGCATATGCAATAGAGCATTACTCTGGAAGTTAGATAACCCTAAACCCTAAACCGTGGCCGAGTTGTGAGAGCGTAAACCGTGGCAACATGCCGCAGATTAGATGTAAGTAAGTAGTTGCCGACCCGAACTCAGAGACCTCGTCTGGCTTGTCCGAATTGCAAGAGCGTAAACCGTTGAAAAGAGCCATAGGCTGCCGCCTTTGCGACTCTGCAAGATCATTGAAATGGGTAGTTGTCAAAATTATGGTCCTTTGCTGGGTACACTAAATGTTAGGTGCCGTACTACACGGGGCGCAAAAAGGGACCCTAATATTGACAACCACCCAAATGTTGAAATGCAAAAGGCCAGGCCCAGGAAACAAGGAACCCCGAATCAATACCTGTAGAACTCCCGAGAATAATCCTAATGGGACGCTGAATATATGACTCCGACATACTTATGAGAAATCCCATAAGGTTTTTTTGCTGTTCAACTGCCATGGCAGGCCTGGCGCAATATCTTTCCAAGCTGGCCGTCGAAGATCCCGCGTATTGCCAATGGATTCTCAGAGAGGCGAAGGCTCCACGGCGGCGTAATACGTCATGTCATACCTGTTACTGACCGTACACGCTGCTCCTGCGACAAGCTATATATTTCTGAACAAGCTGCGCTGTCGCATCAAAATCGTGACTAGGCTTGCTATCCCATTCAGGCATGGCAGCTCCACACTTGCGACTCATGCCATACCGCTCGCATTTAACCAGCATATTGATTGCAGCGTCCTGGGACTCCGAGGGTTCTGGTCTATAGAGCTCGGATTGTGACTTCGGGGTTTCTGCTTCAGCTGAGACATTAGAACAGGTCGGGGACCTATGCTTCGACTGCTGGATTGCACTAGCAATGAATGAAGGTTCGATGTTTGCTAACTGTCCAACAAGCCGTGTTTCCTCATCAGGGGGGCGATGCCTCTCCGAAGATTCGAGCGATGGCTGATTGGCTCGTGGAGAATGCGCCGCACGTGCAGGACACAAACTTAGTGTCACGACCGTCCCCAGCTTCCTTAGTCCCTTGTCCAAACATACTGCACCAATACGGATAATCTACAGCGTTGAAAATGGAATTCCCTGTAGGGGCACTGGCATTCGCAGGAACGCGGTGTTCTGGTATCAGGCCCGACAGAATGTGTGCACATTGCAAGATGTCTCCTCGGAAGTGGAGCCTGTACCCGCCTGTTCAGTCCACAAGCCAGGCCGCACGCACCACGGACGGCCGATTTCTGAGCTCGTCACTGAAGATCCAGTGTTTTGCCAATGGGCTCTGCAGAAGGCCGAGGAGTCCTGCACAAAGCGTGACTATATCGTGCAAGCAGACGAGGCTTCATGCTCGTTCGTTTAAGTCCAGAGTGTGTGTGTGTGTGTTCCATCTGGCGTTCTTTAGACCCAACTTCGAGTGCACGTCTTGAGTGTACATGGCTGGGCGGCTGTTACAAGTGATCGCATCGGCAGACAGATGTTTCGAGCCCTGGTGACATTGAAGTGCACGCGATTCATGCTGGCCCCTCTAGTTCTAACAAGTTTGACCTGAAACCTGTGGGTTTTTGTCCTTGCACATGCTCCATGAGTCCGGATGCGATAATCTGGTACTTGCTGGCATGTAAGTTCCAATGTCTCGATCCCGCGAATGGACTGACTTTATGTATTCTATGTATGGGCATTCCGAATGCTGATCTGCACGAAGGAGGGAGATGCATCGCTTGGAGTGCGAGAAATCGCAGAGTGGCTAAAGAAGAATGCACCCCACCTGCAGGAGCGATTGTGCCGAAACGCGTGGTACCGCTGTCAAGCGAGTCAAGCGCAGCGTTGGCAGGGAATGATACCTCCCACGGACGCAGTTGCTTCTCTTCGCGAGGGTGTCTTCTGTACATCTTCGGACCCAAGCAGCTTTAAATGCAAGTCTTGATTGAGATCCCCTATGACGAAACTGCTGTCGAGGGATCTCTAGGCTCTCGTGTTCTTTCACTGTTCGCTTGCCCCTGACAGGAGCGGGGCGCTTTTGCTTCAGGCTGGGATTTGCAAGTTTGCTTTCCATGCACTTCAAGATTCAAGATTCCCGCAAAATGAAGCTCTTTCGATACACCCTAGCTTTTGCACGGAACCCTTGCCGATGATCAGGAGGTTTAGCAGCCAGACGAGTCTTAGGGCTTGGCATACTGCAGAGACGGCACCGCCTCAGACATCTTTAGCCTTGCTATAATGAGTCCCATGTTTCCTGCCGATGTTGACATGGCCCTGAAACCTTAGTTGCAGCTTTTTGCAAAGGAGTCTTGGCACCTGGATTGTGTCTGTTACTTGCATCAAGGCAAGCACCGTGGACGACCCATGCAAGAAGTGGTTGCTGAAGATCCAGCATACTGCTTGTGGGTGCTACAGCAGGCTGAGGCTCGTTTGGGAGAGGCTCTTTTGCTGATTCCTGAAGGACCCAAGCCAAGACACTGCCGGAAGAACCCTCTGGACTTCAAGTGACGGGTGCGCTTTTTATGCCAGGTATTGCAAGTTCAGATGTCATCCCTCGTCGGTACGCCGGTGTTCCGCAAAAAGTTCCGATGCAACAGCTGATGGTCCGTAGGCCCGGCTTCAAAAAGCCCTTCCCTTGCCCTCAACGCCTGTGAAGGCGCCAACGGCCTCACATGGATTGCGAGAAATGGCGAAATGGCTTACTGCGAATGCATCGCACCTCAAGGACAGCCCGCATGCCGATTCTGCTATTGTCAGTGCAGAGGCTAGACCATTCATCCAGAGCTTTGGGATTCACATAGAGTGGCGTCGGGGCCCCTCTCCTAACAAACATCACTCGCACGGAGGCGATCATTGAATGGACGATTGATGGAACAACTTGCAAACAATAGCTGCATTGCATGTCGACGCTCGAGGGGGTCCTGCATCGCGACATGTCACCCGGCATGGGAACCTGGTTGATTCTGCACATTTAAATGCAGCACGAAGCCGATGCTCCATTTCGTTCAGAGTACCTTGCCCCAACCTGCAGTCTCTTTCGCAATTGCATTGGACAAGCTTGGCACGAAGGGGAACTCCTTGCGTTGCAGGACAAGGGCTGCTTTGCCTCAGGCCCTGCTTTCCTGCAGTGTTGAAGTAAGGAGACTTGATTGAGTCACAGAGCAGGTCTCTTCCCTGCAGCTTTGAGCTGTTGCGTAGCTATACCACGCCTTAAGATGTGCGTCCGACAGCATCGGTTTTAGAGCTTCCCCTCCGAGCAAGAAACGTCTCTAATCGAGCACATCTCCAAAAAAAGTTCGCGTTGACCAGCTGAGTAGCAGCCGCGTGGTGAGTGGAGACGAGCCAGGTGGGAAGTATCATGGACGGCCGATGTCTGATTTGGTGACGGAAGATGCATCATATTGCAAGTGGGTTCTCCGACGAGCCAAGGATCCCAGCCTGCAGGTGTAATACAGTGGCCTTCATAATTCGAGCCGGGTTTGGGTGTATATTTATAGATTTTGTGTGCAAAAGTAATCAGAGACCTCAGGGAATAGTATACAGTATACACTACTTGTGCAGGCTTCTATATTAGGTTCAGATCGGGCACCGCTGGGCTTTTCTGGATAGGACGTTGGCTCCAGTCTCCACAGAAAGATGCTGTCTTATGTCGACGTAGAAGCTTTTGGAATTGGCACACATGTGGGAGAGACCGGCTTTCAATGCACCAGCTGTCGCGATGTTGGAAACTTGCAAGTTGCCTGAAAACTTCAACCTCGAAGCACCGTTCAGGACCCCTCTTCTTCGCAGACATTGCGCGAGAAAGCACTGTGGCTGAAAGAACACGCGCCGCATCTCGAGGCTGTTGGGTAGCGTGCCCACGAGTTTGAGGCTTTGCATGAGTCTTCGTATCGGCTCTGGTCGGGTGGTTGGCAATGGTTGGCATATTTAGGCGCAGTGCAAGCACCAACGCGAACCTTTGCACTGGCCGTCCTGACACGTCCTCACTGGCTTACATTGCGTTCTTGCATGACCGCGCCCACCCACCTCTCTCTCTCTCTCTCTCTCTCTCTCTCTCTCTTTGTCTCTCTCATTCCCTCCCCTCCCTCCTAACAGATACGTTGCTGTTGTCGTTATGGTCGTGCCACATCCCAGCAGTCCTAGCAGTGCTGCCACCAGGTCTTAGGGAGCCAAAGAGTGGGGTAGCTGACGGGAAAGATATTGTTACAGCCAGCTTACATCCCGGGTTCAGTTCGATCCGCTGCATTCCTGTAGAGGGGTGTGGTTGAGTGTGACTAGAGGAGACATCCGAAAGCAAGAAACGCATTGACAACCGCCAACTGAACTGTTCGACCAGGGGGAGGCTTATTTCTGTCACTTACTGTTGGTTAGTAGGGAATGGAAGAATGGAAGTAATAGTAGTTATGTAATTGTACCCCATTCCTCCATTCCTACTAACCAACGGTAAGGTCAGTGCTGCTTCAGTCACGAAGCCTGTCAGGAGCAGTTGGCTGCCAAAGTGGAAGCTCCCATCACAGGCAGATGCCAACGGTTCACCGGGCAAGGCGACAAAGGTCTAAGAGCTGTAGATAGATATGCGACTGTCTTGCAGAACAGAAGCCTGATAATCTAGGGGCCTTAATAACTACCAATTTCAATGCTATTTTGAGGCTTCCTTATTATGATTATAGTGTACCGCCAAGACCCTATTCTAATTCTTAAGGCCCCTCTCTACTTGCAATTCAGCCCGCACGCCTCCAGGGGTACGGAAGGGCAAGGAAGAGTCCGATGAAGAGTTCCTTTCACGACTGGTTGCTGAAGATCCATCGTACTGCTTGTGGATTCTTCGCGCAGCAAAGGACACACATGCCCCTCTGCCGTAGATTTTTGGCACTTTTGTACATCTGGTTTGCTATCGGAATTGGCTTGCCCCCAATCCCGAGCCTGTCAAACCCCTGCGAGGAGAAAGAGGCTTCTCGCAAATTGCGAGATAGAGCCGCATGGCTCTCGAAGCATGCGCCGCACTTGAAGGAACCCACGGACCAGATAGGGGCAGATAGGGTCATGGGAGCGTCTCATTTGCCGGATGTTTGTGGGACACCTATGTTTCGACACACTGGGGTGGGGGGGTTTACGTAGTCCTGACAGTCGTCGAACTCAACCTGCTCCTGCCACAGGAGACGCAGGTAGTGCGCATGCGGAGCGTGCACAGGGGAATTCCGCTTCCCCAGCTTGTCGCTGAAGTGTCTCAGCTGCACTTTCAATGCATTGCATCCCCAAGCACTGCAGCCCCTGTGAAGGCCCTTTTGAAAGCTTCTGAAAGGCCTCGAGAAGGTCTGTTTAGGTGTACTGCTTTATCCATCACCGTGTGCTGACGCCGGCAGGAATCTTTAGTTGGAGCGACATGGCCTGTAGTCGTGCAGTGGAGTGCTGCTTCAGTAGTGGGTCTTGATGAGCATCTTTTAGTTGTCTGTTTCCTGTACAACACATGTTCAGCTTCACTGCCTACCCACCCGAACATGGATTCAGCGAGACGACAAGCTACAACTAGTGCTGACGAGCTGGTCAACTTGACAGACTTTGTGCAGATGCCCAGCTTGTGGAAAGGATCCGCGGTGGTGCCGCTTCGTTCTGGATCAAGTCGAGGCCTGCACCTGTCTCTGCCTGTGATACGCCAGAAGCCCAGTCAGATAGTATATTCAACAACTGATATATGCATCGGCTACATAAGCACGACAAGCTACCTAAAGATACAAAACTGGGCTTCTTTCTAGACACAGATAGGTTTGCGAGGTAGTGAGATTTGCCATATGTGCAACTGGCCTTCTCCGCATCTCAGGCGAAGTGCGAAGAGTTCACGGAGGTGGCAGCAACTGGGTTGCCAAAAGATTTTCTGCGAACATGACCCTTCCGATATTTTGAATGTTGGAAGTAGTGGACGGAAGCCGACTGCGAGGACACGGTTCGCAGGCACAGTTAATTACTTGTACTAGTGTTTGTCATACTCGCCCATGGACCGTTGGCAGCATTTCATATTCACGAAGCGTGCTGTGACTTGCCCAGGTATGGCTTCGCGAAAATGCTCCTGAACTTCGAGAAGCGTCCAGCGATTCTTTGCAGGTGAGCAGTACTGTCTCGCGTTATGCGGTTCTTTGATCTCGACTGCGTCGCAGCTTGCAGTGGAAGGTGGTGCTGCAGTCAAGCCGGTTTCCAAGTAAAGCTTCCACTGGTTCCACTATGAAACTAGGGCGGTGCTGACTCGACATCGCCGCAGTTACATAATTATAAGTGACCACTGGCCGACTTTGGCACTTGCTATCGATATGTGTGTGTGCTTTGCCCGCTCGGTCGTGTGCCTTCGCACATCTTCATCCCATTCTGAGGACGACGAACCAATCATTGAAGAATTGAGCCGGAGGATGCTCGAAAGATACGGCCAGTGGTTCGTCATCCGGCATGGCAAACATCGCATGAAGACGTTCGCCGCTGTGGTGGAGGACAGAGACCTCTGCGCTAGGTCGCTAGGCAGGTCCACAAAGTCAATCGGTAATGCTCATGAATTAACACTGCCCGGTTCGGAACTTGATGCAAAGCCTGCATTGCACTCTTTCATCCTCAGCAAAGGACAGTATCCATACAACAAGTTATCGAAGCCATATACTGTAGCACCGCAGCTAGCACCTACCGGGGCAGAACCTGACATGTTATCCTGACAGCTACCCGCCCAGGATTTCGCACATATGCAGCTTTGCTGGTCCCTCATTCTCATGGCCACCACTTCTTGCCGACTCATTCGCCCATAATCTTCCACGGAATATACCCAGCCAACGATTGCTGCCGAGCAATGCGCGCTTTGCTCTTCCAGGAAGCTCCAAGCTTTGTGAGATGGGCCGAGAAGACCGTTGCGCGCAATACTGCCGAGAAGGGTGCCTCGGTTGCACATCTTGCTTATGTCGGGCTTGGACTATATGGGTGGTTGTCAAAATTATGGTACCTTTTTGGGTCCTTTCTGGAATAATTACAGCACCTAATATGTAGGGTACCCAAAAAGGGACCATAATTTTGACAACCACCCTTTTAGGGATCAGAGTCCTGGGTTTCGGTGAGCGGTTGCGCAGGAGGTTTTTGGGACAAATGAGGGCCTGTACATGCTAGTGTCACTCAATGTTCTATCGAGATTGAAAAATATAAACTACATGCGGGTAGTTGTCAAAATTAAGGTCCCTTTTTAGGTACCCTAAAAACTATAGGTGCCGTATATTATAGTAGGGACCCAACAGGGACCCTAATTTTGACAACCACCCACGTAGCTCCATGGAGCGCGAGGATGGCCGGGTTTTTCACCACTGCAGCTATCAAACCCATCGCTTGGAGCCTAAGTCTGAGCCAAATCATCACGATATCCTGAACAGCATGCCTCTGCCATGGTTCTAACTTGCGGATCGGAAGGAGAATGTACAGCATGTAGGGGCTGGGGCTTTAGAGTGGTTATAAACCAGAGTCATAGCGAATCACCTGTGATTCCTGGCAGGGGCCGTCGGCAGGAATAGCAACAATTTCAAGCTTTTGGTGGCTTTCGCCCGCCAGCTGCGCAGCAAGGACTCGACGGATTCAACTGGCTATAAAGTTTTGTGACGATAGGGATTTGTTGAGCGCGTGTAATGCAAATAAATACTGTAGTGGTTCTGTCTCGCTACATGCAGGAAACGGACACGGAGGTCACCTTTGCTTCAGGTGCGCTGGACATGCGGTTGACTTTCAAGGCGGTTCAAGACCAGCCTGCCGCTAAGATTAGTGGTTCACGGCACTGGTGATGATCAGTCTTTAATAGCTTGCAGTACAAAGTCTTTGATTCTATCATCGTAGCTGTGACAATTTTTGGTTCACGGGGCATGGGCTCGGGGGGGTTCAGCGATGTAGGTCTTTTGAGATCAAAAGCGCCCGTGTACGCAGAATGGCAGCCTCGCCGCGTGCTCTTTCAGGGAACTCCCCTACACTGTGTACAGACCCAGAGAGCCCAATGCCACTTAATTAAGGATTTTACAATATTATTAACTAAGCTACATTCCTTATTAGTTAAGGGGTATTGGGCTCTCTGAGGACGCTTGGTGCCCTTGCGAGGCCAGATCCTGACAGAGGGATTCGCTCCCAGAGCCACTGAGATCATGGCAGCGTGAGCTTTCCTTCTTTCTGTGCCTGTGATTGATCTAGGATCGTTTGTTGGCGTGGCTGGACGCAGGATTGATACGAATGTTCACCCAACGCTCTTAAAGCATCCAGGTGTTCAGACTGTTGAAGTAATCCAGTACGTCTGGGCTTTAAACTGGGTTTCTACGAATCGCCAGTTCAACGGAGTGAACAAAGGTATCACGTGCTGAGCAACCTCATGTGTATCAACAAGCATCCTACATAGAGGGCCGAGTTAGCAACAAGTTGGTTTTGTTGGCATGCTTCACGTTCATCTCGAGCCATATGCGGTCAGCAGTGAATGCCTGTGTTCCTATATGCACCAGCTGTACAGATGGGTAGCTGCTTGGAAAGGACGCTGCTTGGGGTGCGGCCTAAAGCGAAGCGAGGAAATGAGCTGGCGTTGAGAAGCCCGTGTCTCCACTGATGACTGGCTGCTTCTGAGATTCTGTGAAGGTTCCACCGTGACCGAACTCGAACCCACCGGTACATGCTTGCAAGTAGCTATAAACGTCAAGTCTGCTGTGCAAAGTGCACGCCGTCTTTTGTCGATCGCGTTTGGCCCAGAGTCGAACAAATCCCGGCGCCGGGCACTGCGGCGCTGACTGAAGGCTCTTCTGACCCACTCAAGTTAGTCGACAGTGATAGTTACACTGACATGTACTGGTATGTTGTACGTAATGTATGTATGTGCGTGTGTATATATATATATATTTATGTATTTATATTCATTCGAGGACAACCTCCAGGTTCAGAGCAGACATACCGAAACGGATTGCATGTCACGTACCGTGCGAGGAACGTTTAAGCTTGGCAGAAGCTGGAAAGCCAAATCAGTTGAGGAGACTTGATCCCGTAGCCTTTGGAAACGACAGGGGTCGAGCTCGTTGACGACCTGTATGACACAGGGCCCCAAAGCATCCAAGAAACCCAAACATCCCTGCAGGCTGCGACTCAAAAATCCCCTATTGCGGCACTTGCCCTGAACCTCAAACCCTGTAAACCTGGCGGCTCCCCAAACCCAGAGCGTGCCGGAGGACATGGCATCGCCTTCGGCGGTGTTCCTGAAAAAGCTGGAGACGGGGATGCAAAGCGCAAGCTATTCTCGGCTGCTGTACGGTGGATTTCGAATTGAGTTTACTTAGAAGGCTGGTCTCATGATGCATGCCCGAAGTTATTGGGATATTCTGCTCGGTTCTAGTCACCATAGTCGTGCTCATGCAGCCCGAGGATTTGTAAGGAGCAGGAGCAGGCTGAAGAATATGAGTCTGCCATGGATTTCGGAATGCAACACAAACTGAGCTGACGTATTGACATTTTGGTTTCGCGGACTGCTTAATTTCAAATTCTAGTTTCTTAATGTTGTTATTTGCTTGCTGCTGCTCTCTTCACCACCCGAGAACTTGATCAATGAATCGTCAGCAGGGCGAATCGAGTGGTAGTCGCCTGAATACATAGTTAGTAGCACTACATGCCACGGTTCGTTTTGAACTATACTAGAAACTTCCAAAATCAAGAGGGCCCGATATTCGAAAGCTGGCCGCTGCTTTTCTGGAAGCAGCCCTCTCCAGGAGACTTTCCTGAAACGGATCCGTAAGTGGGACACCGAGTGCCATGGCAGATGCAAGCTGGGGCCGTTTGGAGTATTGAAGGCTTGGTGTAGGGCTCAGCGTTCACTGGGGTAACAAGACGGTCAGATTCAGGCACAGCATTCGGTGCAGAGCACTGAAAGAAACATGCCCATCGCCAGAAGCAAAGCGCAGTTCCGAAACCTCCTAGACCCGGTGATGTCACAGTGGTTCAGCAGAAAAAGCCGCACAGACCACCAGACTGCAGGACCACATCACAGATTCCAAACCTCTCAGTGCTGCCACTGCATCAAAGGTTCCTGTGCATCGGGAAGAACGCTGCCGAGGCATTTTGGCTTGACTGCCCAACATTTGCCATAGTTGTTCTTGACTTTGAAGTGTTTCGCCGTAGACATAGGCAGGCCGAGGAAATAGGCCAGGGGCAGACTGTCTCCCCAGTTTTAACATCACGACAACATGTCCCCACATCTTGCTTTCTTAGCAGTTCCAGCAACCCGACATGTTTTTGTGTAATAAGATAGTCGAAACGTCAACCTAGTAGCATCCGGAACCCGCACAGAGACGGGTTCTCACGTACTTAGTGTCGTAGTTGTTGTCGCTTTCTTGTCACGTACTGATCCCTGCTTTGAGAAATTTGTTGATAGAGACACATGTCTTGAGGTAGAGACCGACTGCGTGGACGGTAAAGCTTGCGACTGACACTTGCTTTGTAATGGCGAATGCTAACTGCACCATGACCATTGCAAACACGTTGTTGCGGAAACAGTGTGGCGCCAATATGAGCTTGGGCTCTGAAGCATGTAGGTTGAACCGCGGCAGCAAGAAGGATGTGACAGAAGTATGATCACCATGTCGACTTTCGTTAATATATGTGAATTCGATATGATTCGAATGTGTTTACGGGTATCGTTGACTGCGTTTGAATCTAGCACGTGTCCATCATGAACTGTGTTTGCGTTGAACTCTGATCCTGATGTGGTCTGATAGTCTAGCCAGCGTGGGCCCAAGAACCCGATGTCCATGACCCCGTATCCAAATCATATTACACGCGCATTTAGCTCATGCCTGTCTGTGGAAAGATGAGGCAGCGACTATGATAAGAACATGACTCAACAGGAGGGCTATTCTGTCCCAATCTGTGTCTCTAGGTTTCAGGCATATTAGCAAACCATTTAGTATCGAAGCCCTCTTTAAATCATAAACTGGAAAAAAGAAGTCTGGATTTCCGGGCCCGGAGCCCCGACCTAAGCCTGGAATCCTGGGAGGCACGAGCCCCAAGTCACCAGAAAATGCTTGAAGGTCTTTAATGTACCGAAGCCGGAGGAGGTTGTGCCGCGAATCACAGCCAACCTTGATTACTTCAGTGGCCTGGCCGCATCTCGGGGCCGACGATGCTTTGGTTGTTTAAAGAGCTGTTTACATTGCTAGTCTGGTCGAATCTGAATGAAAGAAAATGCAAAGCCCAGCGAGCTTAAGGTGTGAACTATGCGGTGTGCCTTGCCGTCTTTGCCCTGACCTCCATCGTGGTCTATCCGCCGCTTGCCTAAGCCTGTACACACATTATCATGCAACGACGACGTTCCTCGTAGTTATGTGTGCAGAAGGCATGTGTGGTCCGACCCTACGTGCTTGTTCATGACTAGGTCTGGGAGCGCAGCATGTCGGTCCACTACCTAAAGAGTGTTGTGGGAGGAATTTAGCCGGCGGGTGCTCGGGATGTGTCCAGCAGAGTTTCTGCATGTCCACAGACTCACTAAACATCTATAATGGACTTTTGAGAGGTTGACCAGACTCGGTTTTCGTTTGTCTCCTGCGAGCATTTGGCGTTTTACTTGGCTGCTTCAACTCATCAGGGGACTATGTCTGTCGGTTACAGGTGGCCGTATTATGTTACCGCAAATTCTTGTAATGCAGCCGAATTTGCGATACCTAGACCTAGGAGCCTGGTTAGATCTTGTAACTAATTTGAGAAGTCCAGCGTGTCTCTAAGTAGGGCTTGGCATGTCAGCATGCATACAGCAGCAGACCCAGGGATCTTATGACCACCATCGAAGAATTCACTTCAACTCGAAACAGGGCAAAGCACCCCCGCCGGGACTTCAAGGAAACTGCTTGTCTGAAGACTACATACTGGGTTTTGCCGGGGGCCTGCGCCTTCACCCTGGAATCCAAAACAATCCAACCATAAACAAGCTCAAATCGTATCCCAAACCCGGAACTCGGAACCCCGAGTCAAACTCGAAACTGAAAGGCGGAGCATTTTAAGATTACACCCAGAATGATTCCTGAACTTCTGCTGAATCCTTATGATGAGTCCGAGTTGCGAGAGCATAGACCCTGAGAAAACCCCGCGAAAGGCTCACCCCAAACCGTAGCCCTCAGGCAGCTGCTGGTGCTCGTTTGCGTCTTCTCGGGCCTCTGGTCTCTGGGACGTTCTGATTTAGCACATGATGTTTGTGTATTTTTCAAAGTTCTTGTGACCTGTTTTTCTTTTTGGCATGCTGAACTCCGGATCTTTAGGGAACTATCGGTGAGTCTTCGGCTGGTGCTAGCTGCTAGCATCCTTCAAACAAGCAAATCCTGGCGCCACGGTTTTGGAATCGGATGCACAGTCTTGGTTGACTCTGTTTGTTTCGGCAAAAGTACCTATAGTCTCCATTGTAGTTCCTTTCTTAGGTTAACCAACAGCTATATTATAGGATCCTAACCATAAAACTGGTAAACCAAAACAAGGAACTACAATGGAGACCATAGGTATTCATTAGTTCTCGTCTCCTACTCCCTGAACCGAGTGAGTTTTACAATATTTCGTGGTCTACATCGTGTTCTTCGTACCTACTGCCTTCGACACACCCATCCACCCACCGAGCCACAATGCCTATGCTGAAAGGTACGGCTTGCTTACGCGGCCGAACCACATGAGACTGCAGATTGCCAATGCCCTGCTGACGAAGCGCGCCTCGGTCGCTGATAGCTTGCAGGCTGTTGATCTTCAATTTCCCGGGGTTTGGCATGATGGACCTTCTGGGCACACTTATGTGATTATTTTGGGGGATTTCGTAGGCATCAAGTCAAGGCTCTGCACCCCGAGGCCAATAAACATGAGCAGTCCACACACCGGGTGTGCGCTTGATCCTGGTTCCATCCGACACGCAAGCGTTGCAGAGCACTGTCTACTGAAGATTGCCCTTGGAGAGTTTACTGTACCTTCACAGGTTCCTGAGCAGTACCCTTTTGCCCTTTGTATTTGCAGCCCCCCCTTATTGAAGCCGAATGGTAGGAAAAGGGTAACCTTGTTATACAGCCTAGTGTCCACCTTGTACACTTCTGACTTTCCGGAGCTGCCCAGGCTGCATCATCTGCAGTGGCGGGCAAAACGACCTAGCCCTATAATTTCGACT